ATGAGTCCGTCTATTTGTCGGAGATACGGTGTATTGTCATCCAATACGGGAACTCAAGGATATATATCTCAGAAGGAATTCATGAGTTTCGGTATTGCAACACCGTTGCTTTTGAATATGTATGCCTACATCGATAGCTGAATGATTCCGTTAAGCCAAGCGTATTACGTGACTCCGGTGCCGTTTTTCAAGGCGAACGAATGCAACAGGATTCAAAATACAACAAAAATTGTATAACAAAGCATTTTGCTCTTACAATGGCGTATGCTACAGAGATCTGTAAGAAGAACGCTGTTGAACACTTCGAAATTGAACGTCTGACCACCGATGTCTGATTCCACTTATACTATCGTGACCATTAAAACGGTAGGACTTAACTGATTTTCATATTCCTCTTAGTGTGTAGGAATTAAAGTTTAATAGTATATAAAATAAGATTGATTAGCTGATGTTTAATTCATACTAATTAATTCATTGGTTGGTTAAAATCAATACCTTGAACCGTTAATGAATCAGAGATATGTTGGATAAATTTAAATTTTAAAGAATGATGAACAGGAATCAGAATAGGTATTTGCTTATTTGAATATGAATGTTACTAAGTTTCAGAAAGATTGTGATTTTTTCCTAGTAATTGATTTTTAATTGTGACTTTCAAATAATAATGAAAAATGCTTAGAGCTATTCCGATTTTTCTTTGGGTGTATCCAGTGGCATGAAACGATCTAATTAATTCAAAACCACTCCCACGTATCCTGTCCCGTTCAAAATACAAAATCGTTCCAATGAAAGGTAATCGTCGATAAGCATAATTAAATATTCACTTAAAAAACCATCAGGAGCTGATGTTTCCAATGAACCGTGACTAAGTACAGTCCGGGCAAAATGTTCAGCAAAAAGAAGCCAATTATCAAAGGTACAGTGAGACAGTAAATTAATTTTTTTAATCTCCATTCTCCTTGATCAATTAAGCGACAATTAGTCAAGCTTCGACATTTCCGTTTTTCAAGGAGATCACGATCGAGATCGCTTGTTGCAAGATAAAAGGAATAAATAGACCGCGGATTAAAAAAAAACATTTCCTACCTATATTTTATTTTGGTGATTATATTTATAAAAATTTGAAAGA